CGATCAGATCTTATAACAGTTGCACCGAATACATTAGAATGATTCACATGCTAATGTATACAAAATCAATCTTATTTTTTAGAAATTGTAAATTCATATTTGGTCTGTTTGGGCTCAGGACCAACTGTTTATCGTGTACAACTAGCTTTGTGCTCTTATCTTATTCATATATGTGCATAGGCTTATCAATCAGAAAGTTTTCGAAATGTGTTAAAACCTATTATTTGATTGACTATGATAGAAAAGCATAATTAAGTGCTAAATAATTAAGGATAGCTCTTCTAAATTCTAATCCTTGGTCGGCACACAAAATTGAGCATATAGTGCGTGATTTATTCTGAATTGGTATTTTATTTGCCATACTTGCCTCTAACTATTAGCGATAATCCCCTTAACATTATTTGTAAAGAAATTCTTAAAAAAACAAAAATTATGTGTCGTCTCTACAACCGTTCTCACCCAAACAATTATAACATGACTAGAAAAATATGAAATGACAAACTTGTAAATGAATTTTCTATTACAAGATTGAGTTTAAATGGAGCAAACAATTACTTTTTGGTTAGTGTATATATACTTAGAAAACTGAAAAACAATTCTATTACAAGAAGAGAAGTTATTTCAAGAAACAAATTAAAAGCCATCTAAGTATTATACTTACGTCAACATTGTCCCGTTTGTCACCTGACTACTTTTATTTGCTTTGCTACTGAAAAAAGGGAACATATTGTTATTTGGTTTGCTTTAAATTTTCTTGTATGTTTCGCCTTTCATGGCGTTTTAGGCGTGTACCATACTTGCCTACTCTACCATTATGAGCAAAAAATGGTTTTTCCATATTCGGATATTTATGAAAAGAAAACAAGGTACAAACCGAGCCACGTAAGACTGTGTAACGAGTTTCAAAAGTAGCTACATAAACTGGATCAAAAACTCAAGCCAAGACTCATCAATAAGTAAGAAGAGTTAAAGAGACTCGTGAGGCCATTACAGAAGGGCCCAATATCAAGTTTTAACTAGACAAAACCGGATAAGAAAGCCAGAAGAATCAAACCAACTACCGAAGAGCACGGTTAGGTACAAGTTTGCTGTGAGAAAGCTTGAGATTTGTCATTGGTTACTGTTGATTCTACATGCGTGCACTGCAAGTGAAGATTGGATCTATACTTGCTGCGGCCCAGAAGTAACAAGTTTGTGTCTCAATTGGGTATTAGTGAGGCCCATTTATGTCAAATTAGCAGATAGAGAGAAAAAGAGAGCCGAAGAGAGGACATTTTTTCCCCGAGGAAGATGGCGAGAGCAGCTTGTAGCAGCGTCGTTACAGCTCTCACTTTGTTGCCTTCAAAGTCCCTTCTTTTCAGAACCCATCGCCACTTTCTCTTCTCCGGTAATTCCAAGTTCGTCGGAGTTTTCACATTCGAGAAGAAACGATGTTTTGCTTCCAAAGTAAGCATGAGCTTGAAAGCTGGAATCGTCGGTCTTCCCAACGTCGGAAAATCCACTCTCTTTAACGCCGTCGTAAGTT